ATTTTTTACAACATTCAATTTTTTTTTGAGAGGTTTTTTCACTAAAGGGCGCGTGCACTCTCCAGACAGACACAGAGAGACATGGAGACAGAAAGCGAGAAATCACCCCCCAGGGGTCACGCCGCAATCCCTTCTTCTCCATTCTCTTCTCGGGATCTTGGGCATGCACGCACATGCGCCTGGCGTGAGTTTTAAGCCACCAGGTCTGGGACGCAAACCGCAGTCGACTACGTGGGAGTCCAGCGACATAGCCATTACGCTAACTGCTAGTTCCCACAACATTCACCTTTTGTGTGTATGCCTACTTTAATGTAAAAACACTTCTAAATGTAAAATAACATTAAATAAAGAGAAATAGGTATAATCTCCACAATGCAGATAACAGTGCTATGTAACAGAAATATAAAATTCAAATGTAAATTTGAATGTTCTAGAAGGCACATTACAAAAAATTAAAAAGCAAATTAAAAAGTAACATTAACTTTAATATATTTTATTTGACCCAGTGCCCTGACCCGCGGGACAGTCGAACAGGTTCCCTGGGGGAGGGAGTGAAAGATGGGACAAACACATGCACACACAATAGGAGATGCTGATCAAGTCATCTTCTTCTGTCTACTTCTGTTTATTCAGGAAAAATGGCGAGTTATATACAGCTGGTGGGGACCAATTGGCTGCCCGAAATGCAAATAAGATAGAACAGCATGATCCAATCATTGATGTGGATCTCTCCCGTTGCCTAGAAACCCAACCACTTCCAGGGAGAACGGTTAGTCACATGATTTCTGAGAGACAGTTTGCTCAGTGAGGAAGTGAAGCCTAATGGTTTCCAAGATGGCGGATAGCTCAAGATGGCTTTGTATGCAGTGGCCGCCACATGTCCCCCTTTTTTATTTTTACAAAGAGAGGAGAAAAACCTGGGGGAATCGTGCCTGTCTTAGGTTGGAGTCATTTTTAGAGCCACACATCCATCCTTACCCGTCATTGGAGAATCCCATAGCTATGATGAGTTTCCTGTCTTAGGTGGAAGGACTGAACAGCTGTTAGGCTCAGACTCTCTTACCCGTCTTTGGCTAACCGATTCAGCGCCTCGGGTTGGAGCCATGTCTAGGCTCCGCAATACTCCATCTCCAGGTTGTGGTTGGTAGTGTACTTGGATAGGCTGCATTTTTATGGAATTAATTTGTTGTTTAAGGAAAGCCATGAGCTTATTAAAGAGAACAGGCCTCAAAGAGCAAACAATCAGTAAACCCAGAATCGGACCAAGTATGGGGAGGAAAAAGGGGGGGGGGAGTCCATTCCATGCAGACTAAAAGGGATTGTCACGAATGATGCCGGACTTGTTGGTGTAAAACCAGCAGCATTCCTGTAAAGCAAGACAGAGACCCCCCCAGAGACCCCCTCCCCCCCGGTTCTGCCAGGAGCAGCGCCAGGATCAAAACCAGCACAGTAGTGTAGAAGAAGCAAAACAGGATCAGGTATCTTTATTTTGTTGATCTGTGGAAGGAGAGAGAGATATCTCAGGGCTTTCATCGTCCCTGGATGGCTTGTTAGAATCAATCTGTTTGATTAACCTTTCTGGTAGCCAACGAGCAGCATCCATTTTTTGAGAATAGATGCAGACAGACCCTCTGCTCCAAATGAGGACAGGGTCCAGACCATTCCATGTATTGTCCAGAGGATCTTTCCATAAAACTGAGGCAAATTTTGTTTTGGTAGTTGAATGCCAGAAGCGCTCAGTGGCTGAGTCTCCATCTTTATCAAGAGACAGGAAATTTAGGACAAAAAGAGCATGTGCCAGAAGGTTTTTTGG